AAGACGACCACCCAATCGGGCCTCAGCAGCGCTTAGTCTACCTACCTGGGCGTTCATATCACCAGCAACCACAACGATATCTGAGCTTTTAGCCTGTTGTAGAAGGGCACCTAGAGCGTCATAGAAACTGTCCTTGGCAGATTGAGAGCTACAGTCAGTTGGGGCGTAAGCAGAAACAATAAACAAGGTGCGATGAACCTCACTTCCTCTAGATTCTCTCACCGATGTTGCCAAACGAACCGCACAGAGGCGACTGTCTACGGGTATCCAATCAAGCAGAGACGAATCAGCGTGATACGAGGTGGTCTGGGAGTAAGGTCGTTCTGTTTGGGATAGGGGTATGAAATCAGTAAGGTGATTCCCCCAGACGAACAGCTTGCCCATATTCATGGAAGCAGTTATGCTCCCTTCCATCCGAAGAAACGGGCTAGAAAAGGTCGGCCCTAAAAACCGCACAGTGACCACTAAACGGTTGGCCGTGACCACCGGCTCATTATCCAGTACGATCGAAATACTTTTAAAACCAAAGAGTTCGGTGTTGCTTAAAAGGCACATGTTGTGTGTAGCCGCATCAAGAGTGAGACAGTAGTACTTTACTTCCTGCGCCCTCCGGTTAGGCCAACTCCCAGCAGCCGAGCAGGCCAGACTAATGAGTCATTGGTTCCAGGCAGGGTCCCCAAATAAAACTACTGTCTGCTGCCTTGCGGGTCAGACTTTTGACTCAAAGACCCAAAGTGGAGTACCTCAGCCAAATCCCCTTCCCTGATCTGGGCAATCGGGAAGTTTCATTTGCCCGCACAGTTCTTTGTCCACCGATGTCCCTCTCCAACCCCATTCCCACCACACAAGCAAACGTCATGTCATTTGAAACCTTGTATTTCCTTGAAATTCTGTATTCCGTGTCTTCGAAGCGCGCATACGAGACACCGATGTGGTTATGAATCTCAGAAAGCCAAGAACGGACTCAGGTCGTTCACGTTTCTCTGTCCGTATCTGGTGACCCAGAAGCGAGGACTGGTGAAATATATGGCCCCAGAGTTGAACGCACTCAGCTAGATTGGATACCAGTGAACAGTCGTCTTTGCGCCACCCGGTCATCCAGATCAATCAATCTTTTCGGTATAAAATCGCTGTATGTTTGTAGTATTGGACTAGGCATCAACAGACTGCAGTGTTATTGCCGAGAACGATGTTTTCTATAGAAAGTCATCCCGGCTCATTCTTCAGGCAAAAGCACTGACAACGTGATCCTTGCAGGCTTTATGAATGTTCATGTAAGTCGTCTGAGCTCCTTGGAATAACATTCGGGCGGTCGAGTTGGAGTCGATGCTCGCTGCACAAACAACGGAGATCGACTCCTTCTGTTGTGTGCTGATCATGAACTGTTTCTGGCAATTAGGAACTTTCAACATAAACGTTCTCAGCGCGTAGACTGGCAGCCACAAACTGCAAATCAACCGCGGACCCAGTTAGACCTCGTGGCCATCAGCCATTGGTGGGGAGACATAAGTCAAGCCTGACGTCCCTTATTGAGGCACAGCACGTGATTCCGACCACGCCATGGTGCGTGCACGCCTGACAATTCCTTTTCCTCTAAACCCTCGCAAGTCACCAAGAAGCATGTCTTCGAAGAACTACCATAGCTCAACACTATCGATCTGAGCTTGCCCGACAACTCTCCACAGTAGAATAATACTGTGGTGGCAGTGAGCATGTGGATTAAGCATGACAACATGTGAAAAAAAGCTATGTTAGCGGCGTTGTTTTATCTGTCCGACTTTTTCGATTGGATTACATTACGCTGGATGTCGTCGAGATACCTATCTGATGCCAGGAAATCCATACCAGCAGGTGACGAGTACGACGGCGAACGCAAATCCTTCAAACGCCAAGTAGTGAAGAGTCCAAAAAGGACCGAGAGCTCTGGTGGACATCGAATACCGGGAGACGGAGAAGGCTCTTGTTACAGCCGTGCCGGGCTTTTGAAGAGCTCCCAGTGTACTCACCCAATAAATCGTTCACCTGTAGCACCTTTCGTGCCTAGCTGCCACGCCAACGGAAGAGGCACGAGGGCTAGGGTACTACCAGGTTGTCCAAAGTTAGACAGGAGCAGTCGAGATGCTGGGGTCGGGTTCGTAAGCTGAAACTTTAACCACTGACCTATCTCGAGCAGGGAACTTATTGTGTCCACAAACATACGGGGTACTACTAAGCAAGCGTGTTAAAGACTGGTAAGACTGTTCAAACAATTCAAATACAACTATGAAATCCCAAAAAAATAAAATCGAGGGAAATCTACAGGTATATCGTTCTTTCACCTGACAGTGTGAAAATTTGGTCAATGTAACACCTGCCAAGACGGAATCCTACCTGCCGTTCTCAAACCCGTGCTTCACGGAGCCGCTACAAGGCGACGAAAGAAAAGTGACCTAGGAATCAGGCCGATTCCTGTGTAGCTGCCGAACTCAATACGGGCCCATTCTTTGAACACGTGTTGTCTGGGATGGTCATGTTTGCTCATATGGGGACAAACAGATCAGACGAGCGCTTACTTAGGAATTCAACCAACTGTTGAACAATGCGGACAGGTCATCAAGACCACGAACCGAATCGCTCTTGGAAAGACCATATGCATTCGCGAACCCCGAGGATATACAGGAATCCAGGTTCAATTGCTGCAAGTTCAAGAAAAGCCTCCCTGCCCTCTAGGTTCAGTTATGCAATCCCGACATGTCCCTAAAAATTGGTACTTCCTCAATAGTACGCTGGCACCTACCCCCTGAGATGCCATCGGACTTACCAGCCAAATGCTATCATCGATGATCCTAATCGTTCTCCTTCCTAGATGCGCGCACCTTGGCAGTATCCCGGCTCAGGTAGTCATGATATTTGAAACTAACTAACCTCCATGTCCACCTGTTCCACTTGATTCGTTCGACTGGTCCTCGGAAACCCCTTGTCAGTGAAACAATCAGGGACCAAGATGGCTCCCTGATATGCAGCAAAGCAGAACGTTTGGACCGCTCCGCACAGCCGCCTTCAGTCTCAGAAGTGTCCGAATGCATTTCTCTACTCAAGTGTCATCGCGCTGCTGGTCCTGACGACCTTCCACCTGCTCTCTTCAAGGATGGCGGTGGATTCCTCAGTCAGTGCCTGTCTAGCCTATTTGGGTTTATCTGGAAGAAGGAGACCGTCCCAGACAACTGGGGTGAATCGATAGTGGTACCCCTTTTCAAAAAGGGCACTCGCAGTGAACGTAGCAACCACAGAGGCGTTAGCTTGACGCCTGTTGTGATAAGGCTTCTGGCGTCATTGATTCTTCGTCGCCTCATGGCGGCACGCGAAGTCTTGACTCGTGAGAATCAAGCAGGATTTCGACCGGGTAGAGGCTGCGTTAACCACATCTTCACACTCCGTCAGGTGTTAGGGCAACGCCACATGTACAGACGACCCACGATCTTGCTATTCCCCGACTTCATTGGTGCGTTCGATTCTGCTGATCGGTCAGCGTTTCAGTTGGTACGATATCCGAGATATCGCAATATATTTTCATAAATGAAACTACCCATTGAAAAATAGAAGGCAAATCACTTTTATTCATGGTATGTCTTATCAGAAGGACAATGGTCTGACGCACACGTTTTCCCAAACTTGTTGATACGCGTGATGAAGGCAAACAGATCATTGAATGTGAACCGTACGTGTCAGACAACTGAATAATCGCCCTGGATGGGGTTTTCAGTAGACGGTGACGTTATGTTAACAGCACTTGATCGACCACTAAGATAAGCTGAGTATTTCCAGAAGGTGATGGTGGAGATAAGTGCACTAAAAATAGCCGTTTTGAACGTCTGACAATAGTAGAACAGTTCTGTTGTAGATATTTTGGACAGCGACCATAAGCGCATTTTACAGTATCTAACAACTAATCAGACAATAATACTAGTCATTATATAATAAATAATCAGACTGGTTTTCACTGTGAAGACGAGAAAAAAGACGATCTGCTTACAGTGTTGCTATGGCAAACTTCTCATTGGCGTTCGTGCTATCAGTTTCCTTCAAGATTGTCTGATTGAGCAGTTGGAGGTGTAGGCATTCCAGAATGCTTGACGTAGGCCAGCACTAGTTCCACTCCCTCACCCATTCTTTTTCTCTCCTTTCCATCCTTGGGCTTTTAATACAATTATATATATATATATGTATATAAACGAACCTTATGGTTGTACGGCAGTGAAGCATCAGTGCCAAGACTGATGTTACTGTCATTGGTGATGATGATGGCGCTGATTCGTAGTTCGGTATTTCGCTGTCCGTCTGTCTGCTTGCTTTTGGCCTTCCTGGCATGAGTGCGCCTCATGGAACTAAATTCCAGCCGGTGTAACCCGCAGGATCATTGCAATACTCAAGCCCATCCACGACATCAAGGTGACAGCTTTAGGTCGGATCAAGTGCACATTAAAGGCACACCAATCACGATGATGGATAGTGGCAACAAAATTCCATTGACACGCACACACAACGTTCTACCAATCAGGAAGGCGTATTTCAAGAATCCACGACTGATCATCAAGACTCATAGCTTCAACCTCACTGAAACCAACACACTTAAAGGCCAATAGAATCAAGGTACCTTTAGCGGCAGCGAAGCATCTGTTTTGAACACTGATGTTATGCCTTCAATGACGATGACTTACGAAGAGGATTCATACTTTTACGATGGTAAAAGGTAGCTAATAGATTAGGTTATGTTATGGTGACGAGGTACACACTTTGGATACGCTGTGCTACTTTCGCCTTGATGGTTTTTTCCATCATTTCACTAACAACCTCAGAGGGGATAACAGAATGATAGCTTCCGGAGTCAGATTCCTTTTACCTTGAACACTAGCCTAACCATTTTGGTTTACATTCGTACTGTCGACCGTCGTCCTGCATCGACTATCGATGACTGGATCAATGGTTTTGAGAAAAGCAGCGCATCTGAAACCGGGGTGAGTTTTGCGCTTAGACTATTGAGGATAAAGTGATTCCCTAGAAATCGAATGGACCAATTGTTCAGGCCCGTGCCTATCAGCATCTTCAGAAGTAAGAACCGCGAACACGTCACACAGTAATTACAGCCGCCGCATTTCGCTTTGTCGGTGGTCTTTGGAGGTACAGGCGGATAGCTACGTATTAGGGACGGTAACCGATATGCGTTATGCGTGAATACAGGGGTATTAGTGAACTTTCCATCGGGGAGATCGATAAGGGAAAGTTTGCATTGATAGAAATGGTTTGGATACATGCGCTATTGAGCACGCTACTAAGCCATCCGTCAGTGCCTAAAACCATTGACTTGTCCCATTTCGGGGTCCTCATCCAGGGAAACAGAAATAACCATCCTGGCTGTTCTGGCCTTCCCAATCCGGATGGAACTATTGTCCCTGATCAGACCAACGGGACTGATATAGATACCCAGACAGAAAAAAGTTACCTACTTCATCAATCGATACGAAGTTTGGGTTCGAGCTTACTCATTCTCGCAGTAGTACTCGACACTTTGCAGGTGGGGATGGCATGTCAAACCGTGAGATAGATTATTTAACATCGTCTACATTATGAGGGCATCAGATTCAAGAAGAGCTGTCATCTGTACACTTGATATCTGCGAGAGAACGCCCTGGGTGAATTTCAAATCTACAAGCGTTAGAGACTTGGGAAGTCTTTCACGACAGAATCAATGACAAAGTTGGAGAGAAAAGTTGAAGAGGCAGCTTTTCCTGACACCACTTAGAGTGTTGAACTCAGGCGAGAGCTTACAGTAGACCATCATGTGTCCATGGCAGTTGGTGTTAAGCTTTTTGATGTGGTTCGAGAATTCATGGGTGGATCTTTCCTCCACAGTGCCAGACGACTCACGGCAAGGCACAACTGAGATCGAAAAACACCAATGTTGAAGCGTTGCTGCTGCAGGATGTCGGAGGGTAACTGTGATCGACGTATCCTCGGCCAGAACGGAACCAGCTTGGTGACTATGGACCTGACTGTTTCTGTGTTCAGCCAACCAGGGAGCACCTTTGATACTACAACTAACAGGCTAATGCCACGATTGTTTTCAGATGCCCTTTTGGAAGATAGGGGCGACTGTTGATGTGTCCCATTTTGAAGGCGTTTTCTTCCCCCATAGATTCAGTGCGTTTTGCCATAGATTCTCCACCGACAGAAGCCTTCTCCACTTCTGATCATCTGGTCTCTCATGTCCTAACTCAGTATTTGACGTTTGAGGGGTTTGTGTATACCGTCACACGCGTTGCCTGTTGTACCAATCAGAAATAGCATGCTCGGGAATATCCAATGGTCACTTGATCGTACTGGAGAAATCGAACAGACAGTACGGAATGCCACAAGCATAGTCCCTTTTCAATGTTGTCAGGATACACCCGTGTGCTCGCCACTAGTTTTGGTTTACTGCACACAGTAGTTGAGCTAGCTCAAATCGAAGCTGCCGATTTTTGGTGGTTTCTTCGTAGATGATGGATTGGCACGCTTCTTGTTGACTTGCGAGGACCTGAAGGAAAGCTGTCTGTCAGAAATTGAGTGACCGGAATTGATTTGTGTCCCAGGAGGAGCGGCAGTCTTGAATTGTGAATCTCCACAAGCTCGTTCAGCCGTTACACCCCTTCTGTGCGTAGGTTCCAAGCTACACGAGGGGACCATAAGGTGTTTCATATTAGCCAACTTGACCAGGATTTCAGAAATTCGTGCACCGATCTCATCCGTCACACTACAGTTGGAGCGTATACAACTTCCGAGATGCGCAGAACCATCTACAACCTCGAGTGTCTCTTCTTGGATTGTAAGTGACTGCAAGACCTGTGGGTACAAAGCGACCCCAAAGGACGAGGTGATTTGCTCAGCTCGCCCCAGAACAACTGCACCTTCTGATCCACTTAGAAGAAGGATACCGTTTCCGAGTTCCACATGGACACCGTTTTCGCTATTTTCTATCTGAACACCAGGGTTTTGAGGACCTTTTAGAATCCATTTTATTGACTCACTGATCGCAGAAGTAAATAAGAATGGATACGTCGGACATCCTTATCGCGACTACTTTTGTAGAAGGGCTTTTGGAGAGCTTCCAGTGTCCTGTCACCTGTAGCATCTTTCCGGTGCCTAGCTGCCACGCCAACGGAAGAGGCACGAGGGCTAGGGTACTACCAGGTTGCCCAAAGTTAGACAGGAGCAGTCGAGATGCTGGGGTCGGGTTCGAACCACTAAGCTATCTCGAGCAAGGAACTTATTATGTCCACAAACATACGGGGTACTACTAAGCAAGCGTGTCAATGGTATTTTGTTACCACTCTCCACCATCGTGATTGGTATGCTTTAAATATATGTACTTGATCCGATCTAAAGCTGCCACCTTGATGTGGTGGTCGGGCTTGAGTGTTGCAATGATCCCGCGGGCTACACCGACTGGAACTTCGTTCCATGAGGCGCACTGATGCCAGGAAGGCCAAAAGGAAGCAGACAGACGATGGACGTCGTGGCCCCGTACTACGAATCACCGTGCTGCGAGGCGGTCTGGGAGGTCATCATCATCATCATTGTCAGCTGTAATAACCGCGTACTCATCTTACAGTGGTTGTAGCTGCCGCAGTTTCGTTCCCATATGGTTTGGGGGGGGGGTTAGGTAGCTGCGCATTGCAGGCGGGAGCTGATAAATTGGCGCATAAATCCAGCACTGTCAGTGGGTTGTCAAGTGGGGGGTTGGTTGGAAAAGGAGCTATGCATTGAAGGCAATAGCTGGGTCTGGGAGGTCCGGACAAGGTATTTTTAAGAAAGTGGTCAAGCAATCCTGTTCAACGTGGGGTTACTACCATCCAGGTTTCTGCAGCGGTAATCATCTTGCACTATGAACTTCTATGTGGGGCGCAACATCAATCCTGTTTTTAGACAGCAAACTTCTAGTAACAAAACAAAAGTGATCTGTGTTAGTTGAAAGTTGTTCTTGACTTGTATCCCTTTGCTACAATAGTTTCTCAAAGTCGCTCTGTTTTGAAACATATCCCACACATGAAGTTTCAGGTCTTACGTTAAATTATTTCCAAGCCCTTCTATGGTTTTTCTGTATCTTTGTACCAACATTGCGTCTGCTAGCGACACGGTTGTTCTGTTCTCCATCAAATCACGTTCATCTTTATGCTGATTTCCTTTCTTGTCGCACAGTTGCTCCGATCGGTGTCGCAATTGCTGCCAACCGAAGAAAGTCTATCACGCTCGTATGGTCAACCTCGGTCGTCCCAGCAAAACACAAAAGTTCCCCAGTAACAAGATCAATAACCAGAAATACAGTATCTGGAGTTTTGTCCCCTTAGTAAGTCTGTTAGTTTTGTTTGATCAATTCGTGTGTGTGTATGTATATGGGTTATGCACCATGGCAACGACAACGTGAAAAGTTTTCGGTTAATGGAAATGCTCAACGTGTGGTTTTTTATCGCTATTGAGTTTCAGTGATTGCAGCGCATATTTTA